CCTTCTCCTCTGCCTCACCCCTCTCCTCTTCCTTCTCCTCTGCATCCTCCTCCTCGCTGCCTCCTCTCCTCTCCTCTGCCTCCTCCTCCTCTGCTGCATCCTCCTCCTCCTCCTCCTTTCCTCCTTGCCTCCTCCTCCTCCGTCCTCTTCTGCCTCCTCCTCCTGTCCTCCTCCCCCCCTCCTCCTCTGCCTCTGCCTCTTCCTCCTTCTCCTCCTCTGCCTCCTCGCCGACCTCCATCCCCTTGCCTCCTATCACTGTCCTCTCGCAGATTGATCTTTTATTAAACCTATAACAAAAAAATTCAAATCTCATTCCAATCGCAGGTAAGAGCAAGTCGTGGTGCCCCAAGATCTACTTCAACCACAAGTGCTTCTCTGGTCCGTACCTGAGCAAGGGCCGCATCGTGCCGAGCTGCCGCGCTGCGTCGGGCCCGGCCCCGTCACCACCTCGTCATGAAGGAGGTTCTCTCCATGTTCATCAGCGTCGCCTACAAGTCGAGCCGCGTGCTCCGGGAACTTCAGCTGACGGGGAAGCCAGCCCCAGCATGCACGAGTCCTGTGAAAGCCAAGTGAGTGAGAGAGGAGGGGAGGCAGGGAGGAGAGGGAGGAGATGGAGGGGAGGTTTCTTCTTGCGTCGCGTGCGTGTGGGGGAGCATTCTTTACTATTGCTGTTCATTCATCAAGTCGGTTATGCAGTTCATGTTAGTGGTTCACTGTTCACCTCTCATCGTCATCATCCCGCGTTGCTAGCTCTTCTTCATCCTATACCTCATCCTCATCCTCATCCTGGCATCCTCATCAACATCCTCATCCTCATCCCCAGTCCATCTCATCTACATCCTCATCCTCATCGCATCCTCATCATTCCTCATCATTCCATCCCTCATCCTCTCATCCTCATCCTCATCCTCTTCCTCATCCCCATCTCATCCTCATCCTCATCCTCATACCTCACCTCATCAACATCCCATCCTCATCTTCCATCCCCATCCTTCATCCTATCCTCATCAACATCCTCATCTTCCTCTTCCCCATCTCAATCCTATCCCATTCTTCATCCTCATCCTCATCCTATCCTATTCCTCATCCCATCCTCAGTCCTCTCCCCATCCTCATCCTATCCTATTCCTCATCCATCAGTCCTATTCCTCATCCTCAATCCCCATCCTCATCCCCATCCTATCCCATCCTCATTCCCCATCCTCATCCTCATCCCCCATCCTCATCCCCATCCTCATCCTTCATCTCATCCTCATCTCATCCCATCCTCATTTCCTCATCCTCATCCCCATCCTTATCCTTATCCCCATCCTCATCCCCATCCTCATCCCTATCCTCATCCCCAGCCCCATCCCCATCCTCATCCCTATCTATCCATCATCATCCCCATCCTCATCATCCTTATCCTCATCCTCATCTCATCAACATCCTCATCTTCAATCTTCCTCGATCCTCATCATCCTTCATCTTCATCTTCCTCATCCTCCTCCTCGTCTCGTCTCGTCCTCTCCTCATCCTCATCCTCATCCTCATCCTCATCTTTCTCCTCCTCCTCCTCCTCCTTCTCCTCTCCTTCTCCTCGTCCTCTCCTCAATCCTTCATCCTCATTCCACATCCTCATCGTCGTCGCTGCTTGCAGGTACAAGGGTAAGACGTACCGTGCGACAGTGGAGATCTGTAAGAACACGGACCAGGTGGGAGAATTCTGCCGGCAGGTGTGCATCAGGCTAGAGTGCTGCCCCTACCTGTTCGGCCCGGACTTTGTCAACAACAACTGTCCTGAGAACTGCTCGCAGCTCACCAAGACCAAGTACAGTGAGTGTTTGTTTGTTTGTTTGTTGGGATGACGTGCGCAATGTTGCTTAATTTTTCTGAATCTTCAACTGTTGTATTATCGAGTATTATTAAATCGAATATATAAATATAAATAATAAATATTAATAATTAAAGTTATAAATATTTGAAGGGCATCCTCCTCATTGGTGTTATTGAATTTTCTTTGGTGTTTATTTAATAAAAGTTAAGAAGTTGAGAGTTTTTACTTCGGCTATCATTTTTATAAGATAAGAGTGCTGGAGGGAGGCGGTCCTTTAATTTCTCATATAGGTGCAACTATATTCTACTATGATTTCTACTTTTGGATGAGGTTGAGGCATCGTTGGATTAAACCAGCTTTTGTTAGTTTACCACCCATGCCTTGTATGCTTGTAAGCTGTTGATTAGCGGGGATAACTATTGCGAGAGCGGTCTATGTCTCCAGGTACTGGCCGAGAACGACCCTGGGTAGTGGCGGTACGTTCCGCGTATACCGGAATGTACCTATTACTTATCTTAATATGCCGGACGGTTACCTCGCCTGACTCCACTTACGAGTCTAGGGAGTCGCCTACCGCCTAATAATACGCCCTTCACGTTCCGGCCGTTACCCTTTGGGGACAATAGACCCATGCAGCCTAACTTATTAGTACTGTTGATTGCTTTGTTGACTGCGTTGACGTACGTTCTGTACTCACCGGGACGCCGGCGTCCGCCCTATTTTTTTTTTCTTTTTTTTTGGGGGCGCCAGCGTATTACTACGCGCGAAGAAGCAAGCGCCCGGGTCGACCACAGGGGGCACACGAACCTCATCGGACCGAAGGGACGGGAAGCGCAAGAAGAGGAAGCATTGGCGCGTAATCCAGAGGGAGGCAGATCGCGCTCGCGGCGCAGCGGGAGAAAGGGAGAGCGGCGGAGAGGTTGAGGAGGAGGACAAGGAGGAGGTGCTGAGTCTGCCACACGGTTAGGCGTGCGTCTGCGTGCAAGAGGAGGGGGCAGAGGAGGAGAAGAGAGGATGAGAAAGAGAAGCACTTGTGGTTGAAGTAGATCTTGGGGCAGCACGACTTGCTCTTACCTGCGATCATTCAAATTATAATTTTGTTTAGATTTAAAAAAATATGGATCTGCGAGAGGGCCAAAGTGTGACACCGGGAGAAGGAGGTTGGTGAGGAGGAGGCAGAGGGAGGAAGGTGGGGGAGGAGGAGAAGGAGGAGGTTGTGGGGGAGGAGAAGCATGAAGAGAAAGAGGGAGAAGTGGAGAGGAAGCCATGCAGGAATGCACACCATCATATCAGGAAATCACCCTCCGCCCATCCGCACCCCGTGGCACCTTCCTCCTTCCTCCACCTCTCCCTCTCACCCCTTACCCTTGCTCCACCACCCCCTCCCCCTGACAACTCACTATCGCCGCTGCCATCCATCACGCGCGAGTAAAGCGACTGCGCGCACATCTCCTCCCTCCCCTCTCACCCCCTCCCTCCTGCTCCCCACACACCCTCTCCCCCCTCCCACGCACCCCACCCCCTCCCCGCGACCACTCACCATCGCCGCTCCCATCCATCACGTGCGAGTAGAGCGACTGCGCGCACATCTCCTCGGGAATCTTGCTGATGGAGAGCTTCCGCGGCCGCGAGGATGAGGAGGCTGCGGTCTTGCGCGGTGGCTTCAGAGGGTAGCCGTTGCTCTCGCACCAGCCGACAGGGAAGATGTCGGACGACTCGACGTCTACGATGTGGTTCGACTGGCTCCTGATGTGTGCAGACGATAATAACCATATATATTAGAATATAGATGGATGGATGGATGAATGGATGAATGGATGGATGGATGGATAGATAGATAGATAGGTAGATTGAAAGATAGATAAAAAGGAGGAGGATGAGCAGGGGGAGGAGGAGCAGGAGGAGGAGGAGGAGGATGAGCAGGAGGAGGAGGAGGAGCAGGAGGAGGGTGAGTACGAGGAGGAGGAGCAGGAGGAAGAGGAAGAGGAGGA